ATGCTCTTTTAATTGTATTAATCACTGGGTAAAAAACGTTCATTTTAAACAATTATTTAGAATCTGTTTATGTCTCACCTACGGCTTCGAACACAAATAATATTTTATTTCTTCTGGATCGGGCTGGCTTAAAAATTTAATCTATCTGTTATGAGAGCAGATGAAAAGGTTTGATACTGTTTCAAAATTCTGACAAAATTTTCAAACAATACACCTTTGGTAAATCCATAGATTCAGACTGCATAGCTCTTTTTTTGTGCAAGCAATCACTCGTATGCAAGTCTAGAAAGACTAGTATCACTGCGATCTAATAGATCTATTGTGATTGCCGCTATGGCTATGGTTCACTGCTAAGCTCTTCAATAAATAGTAGGAGTTGCTTAGGTGTGAGAAATTTCACTTCTTCTGGGCGAAGTAGATAGTTTCCCTGATTTGCTACGTTTGCGCATTAAGGGTCCATAATCAGTCAGAATGTGCAGAGGTGTTTTTTCCGTTAAGTTTTTTTTGAGTTTTGTTAAGTTTAACCGGCACATCCTTGAGTTGTTTAGTCCCAGGATAGCCATGTGCTTTTTAAGACAACAGTGCCCAGTCTAGTACTCAGTCTCTTGCTAGAATGCGCTGTTTATTTTTACCTAATTCCAGGGCTTCTGAAGCAAATTAATGATCAAAATCCCGGATTAAAGTTTTGAAATGTTTTAAACTTGGTATATCAGGCCATATCTTAAGTGATTTTTTGTGATAAAGAGTTTCAAGGGTCAATCGGGCTAGGCTTTTTGACATTCCATAAAATGTGTCGGTTTCAAATTTGTGCCCTCCCGTGCGACCTCATAGGCAAGTTTATTGCCTACAACCGTTTTACGATGGGTTTCATGCCACAGGGGTAGTGTGGCACGAAACCCACCTTAAAACGACCCTATCGTTACTTCCCAAGGTTTTTAGACGGTTTACGCAGCCTCTAACTAGGTTCGAGGTCACTACGTTTGATCTCAGCGCTAGCAGTGCTGCTTGACTATCAGAGTTTATATAGATTATATGATTGACGTAGTGTTTTTACAGATTGATTTCCGCACACTGAAGTATGACGAAAATTTATGCCTGGAAGATAAAGGCGAATCTACCCTAATTCATACTGTTTGAATTTGGGGCATTCCTCATAAATTACAAAGGCTACGTCAAGGCCCATTTTTTACCCATCGGTGTACCATATAAGGCTACCGACCTCACAGATAACCTGTCCATTCAACCAGTCTTCTATGGAGAGTGGTTTCACTATATAATTTTTATTAAAAGTTTGTAGTGGGCGCATGATATCTGAGATCATGCATAAGACCGGTATTTCCTTAATTGAGTCGAGCATGAATCTCAATTTTTAGGAAAGCAAGCGCAGTCTGCCCTGGGTGTTAATCCTATACACACCAGCCCTCGCCTCCTGGTCTAAATACAGATCAAGTGGCGTTAGGCACAGAAGTGCATTAAGAGCTGCTCCAGGTGATGATCCCATTGCTCCAGCTGCCAATAAGCAGGCAGTATTTGTAGACTATTTAGTCTATCCGCTATCGTCTTTTGATTGGCGTTATTACACCAGACAGTGGAGGCGTAGGTTATTATCCGCCTATGCTGCTGTACAGCCATAAGACCATACTAGGACACAAACCCCAGTTGTTCCCAACCATACGATTGCATTTTAGCCGTATGACATACGTTGCTAAGTTGAGAGTTCCACGTTAGTTTTTAGTCGATTGTTACGCCCAAATACTTAACTTTTTCGATAACTAAAAGAATAACGCGTCACTTTGCGGAAATCCATTATATTGAAATTGTTAGAACTTAATTTGCTCATTTTCGCGTAATAAAATACAATGACACATCATTGCCTGCCTAGTCTGAAGAGCATCCACATCCCACCGTCCCTCGTTTGCTTGCACTATAGGCCCTTCACCACCACTTCCAACACCACCACTCTCAGCATCACCACTCCCAGCGCCACCCTTCCAGCACCACCACACTAGAATCTCTCTATATGTACATAAACAGGTTAGACTGTTATATTATCCGGCATTGCTGCGACAGACATGTCGCAGAACAGTTGCCTCTGAGAAAGTTTTGATTGATCTCGTCTCCTGACTGATAAAAGTGTGTTTCAATTCTGTTATTTATGTATTAACTTTATTTTAATTGATTAGATTATTTTATATAATGACATTACTGCTTATTGAAATTGACTGGATGTATTATTTTAAAATTGTTATTTTGTTGACATTAATTTATGTATTGTATTGCTATGCTTGTGGAAATTGATTTTAAATTCATTTATTGCAGCACAGTTGCCTTAGAGAAAGTTTTAATTATTGATCTCGTCTCCTGACTGATAAATGTGTGTAAATCTGTTATTTATTTATAATAATTTTAATTTTAATTTTATTTCAATATATTTTATATTGCCTATTTACATTGACTAGATCTATTATTTTAAAATTGTTATTTTGTATTGACATTGATTTACTTATTGCTTAATTTTGGAGACTGATTTTAAATTCTTTGATTTTACTAGATATGGGTGTAATTTGCCTGAATAAAGATGATTATTATTGTGGGGTATCTATATAGTTTTCTCATCTGGTTGGGTTCTATAAATATATAATTATAAATGAAAATGAAAAGATAAATATACATAAATATCAATAACATAAAATAAATATAAAAGTACATAAATAAATAAAAGCCCAACCAGATGGAGGCCCTCGGCAGGGGAGACCAAACGGCCGAGGGTTAGGGGGAAAGCGAAAGAAACCGGCGGACGATGCGGGCGGTATCGAGGAGCACCGCCTTCTGCATTTGAGCCTGGAGCGGTCCGCCACGTAGTCCCAGCCGCCTCAGATGACCCGAGAGGCTGACTGGGATTAGCCCATTCGCAGAGACGACTACAGGAATAATTTCGGTCGGCAGACCACCCCACATGTCGGTCACCTCGTGAGCCAGGTCCAGATATTTTGTTCGCTTATCTGTTTCGGCTTTCACGAGGTTCTCGTCATACGGAATGGTAATGTCGACCAAAAATATCCTTGACTGTGCCCGTTCCATCAGCACAATATCGGGCTTATTCGCAAGAATAGTCCTGTCTGTGAAGATGGCCCGATCCCAATAGAGCCTGGCGCGATCATTTTCGAGCACGGCTTCCGGCAAGTACTTGTAATACGGCACTTTCTGGCCCACGAGACCGTATTTCAGAGCGAGCTCCTGGCGTAGAATTCTGGCTACTAGGTTGTGCCTGTGCAAGTACTCAGAGTTAGAAAGCGCCGAACAACCGGAGATGACATGCCTAAGTGACTCCCCGGAATGGCGACAAGCTTGACAGACGTCGACGGTGCCATCCTTTAGGATGTATCTCCGATAGTTGTTGGTCTTAATAACCTGATCCTGTATTGCACAGACAAAACCCTCGGTTTCCCCGAAGAGGTCACGGAAACGTAGCCAGTTGAGGGAGGCTACTGTATCTACGAAGGGCTCATGTAGAACCCTGTAGTACCTCCCGTGGAGCTCCTTCTCCTTCCACACGGTCTCCCGGTCGGAAATGCTCAGCACTGCCGGGTCCTGCCATTGCTCGTTGGCTACGGATAGAGGGGTAAGTCCTTTATCACTAGAAATGACGTCATTATAGAATGGATCATCCGATCTCACCAGGAAGTAATTACGGAGGCTGCACACTTCGCGATTATGCATGGTGAGCGCGCTCAGGAAGCCACGACCACCATGCTTTCGCAGCAAGTACAGCCTCATTACCCACGATCTCGGATGATGCATCCTATGGGACGTCATGGTAGTGCGGACTTTTCTATCCAGGGCGTTAAGTTCGGTCTGAGTCCACCTGAGTATGCCAAAGGTATACATGAGGACAGGCATGACCCAGCCGTTAAATTCGTGTGCCTTATTCACACCGGACAAAAGGCTGTTAAGCACTTTGGTCAAGCGTGCATAAAACGCGTCGCAAACTGACTGTTTCATACCAGCCTCATCGATACCGATGTTCTGTGACATACCCAGGTATCGGTATGTTTCAGCCTCGGAAAGGGTCCTTAAGTTGACGGGCATAGATAAGTCTACGCCCTCAGAGTTAGCAACCCTTCCCCTTTCAACATGGAGGACCGCACACTTATCCGTCCCCAGCTCCATTCCAATGGAATTGCTAAATTCACAAGTGATGTTTAGCAATTCCATAAGATGGGAGCGACTGGAGGCGAATAACTTGAGGTCATCCACATAGAAAAGGGGTCACTTTTGTCCCTCCTTTCCGTAGCTGAAATCCCCTCCCGGAGCCCTCCAGTAAGATACTGAGAGAGTTCAGAGAGAGGCAGAACCAGATTGGACTCAGACAATCGCCCTGGAAGATACCCCTTCTTATCCTTATGTGGTTCTCCGCAGCCATCATCCGCTCGCCCAGATGACAAAGGATCGTACTCCACTGCCCCATACACTGCTCGAGGAAGTCTCTAACTGTACAGTCTATCTTGTACAGCTCGAGGACTCTCTTTAGCCATGTATGGGGCACCGAGTCGAATGCCTTTCTGTAGTCTATCCAGGCGGCGGAGAAGTTCCGAAGGTTGCGTTTCACCACTTTGCCAATGACTGCGTCAATGAGGAGTGGTTCCTTGGTTCCACGACCACCGCCCCGACATCCATTTTGAGCGCGCGACATCACCTGATTTGAGTCCAGGTGACAAGTGATTCTCGCGCTCAAAATGGATGTTAGTGTCTTGTTTATGGTCGGTAGACACGTGATGGGGCGGTATTTGCTCGGGTCTGTGGTACCCTGGTCTTTAGGAACCAAATGAGTAATCCCAGTAGTGAAGAGGCTTGGGAGCGACTTCTGATCGAGAGCCTCTTGAAACTGTCGGGCGAGCACAGCGTGACACACTACGAACCCCTTCAGCCAGTAATGATGCAGCCCGTCGAGCCCCGGACTTTTCCAGTTCGGGGCCCTACGGACCGCCTCAGCCACGTCTTCAGGCGTTATGGTGACGGGGTTCATAGGCGTAACACTTGCACTCTGGCTCGCCACAACTTCCATCCAAGGGCCCTCGCTGTGGTTTACGGGCTCTGACCACAGGCCACGCCAAAATGCGACAGTGTCGGCCTGATCCGGTCCTGGGCCCGCTCCACATACCTCTCCAATGATTTATAGAGCCTCTTCTGATCACTCTGGAAGAGACGATTCTGGTTGAACCGCCTTGACCTCTCGCTAAATCGTCGAATCCGCTTCCCCCAAGCAGCGATTTTTTTTGCTTCAGGTCATCTATGCGCTCCGTTAGTTTTTGCGTGATATCCGGTTGGAACAAACTGATATTGGTCCCAGCAAACGCCATCCTAACGGTGCGCATAATCCTCGGTCTATTATTACCCGACCTGAAGCTTGTCAGGCTGCCGATAAGGGCCCTTGCCTTTGCGATACGGTCCTCAATTCTTTTTCTCCAGGCTGGGATGGCGCTACTTTTTTGAGTAGCACGTCCAGCCACGGGAAGTTTGGCGCCAATAATACGGCATACTGCCAGTGCGGCGCCAAAAAGAATTGAATCCGTCTCGCAAAGGTCCCGGCTGGCTTCCAAATAGGTCACCAGCATTGGGTTAAGAGCCCGCACGACAGCCCGATTTCGCTTGCTAAGGGGTATGCGGGGAAGTCGCGGTCGATTTTCGAGAGGCATGCTGCGCGTTTCCAGCATTGACTCTTCCAATATGCTCCTCATTTTCTCTAGTTCGTGGAAGACTATTCCATCATCGTCAGAATTAGCCACAAATGGAATGTTGACGGCAGCATCCACATATGCAGTTTGTTGCGCATCTAGTGGCGCCGCATTCCCAGCCGTAGCATTTCCATTCGATGAAGGAATAGCCTCACGTCGTAGTCGCTCGAGTTCGGCGTCACCAAATATGTTGGAGCGCAGGATGTACCTAACTCGGTCTGCCAGGTTTTGCTCAGTGACGGATAGAGATGGCTCCAGCTCTGCAAAAAAAGCGATGCATCCGAGCCCGATACGCCAAACATCCAGTTTCTTCCCCTTTTGCCCTAAAATACGCCCGCAGTGCGTTTTCATTCATTGATTTAGACCAACGCATGCGACGTGCTCCACCAGCGGCGGGTGCCGCTTGCTGAGTCCGAGAAGAGGCCATAAGCACAAACGGGCCTTTGCACCCTGAATTCTGCTTATTATTATTATTATTATTATTATAAACATAATAGACGTGCTCTTTTGGATTTCCGAACTTTTTGTACCTTTTATTTATTTTATCTTGAAAACAATATCTACCTGCAATACGTAGCCAAATTCACACATTAGTAGAGATAACTGGCTAGTGTGAAACGAGACAAACAAACAACTGCAATGGCTAAAACTTAAAGTTAAAACTAATTGTGTGATATCGACTGACGAGTGATATTGGTAGAGTATAAACAGGGGTGAATAGATACATTTTTGATGTTTTGCGACTGTTTTCATAATGTTCCGGATCTGATATCCTACTACCAAATAAGATAAACCCATTACTTATCTAATATTATTCGGAAACATTTATAGGTTTTAAAAAATCCCACAAAATATGTGGTTAATAGACCTCTCGTCAGGGGGCAATGAAAACACTTGATGGGTGATAATTTCTTATATTTACCCGAACACCAACGACAAGTTTAAACAAAATTAGTTACTTACTACTACTACTTATTTCATATTCTCAACGTTTCAAGCACTTTACAGCAGCATGATCACGGGGGGGACCATCCACGGTCTCTGGGGCACTTTACAGTAAAAATGTCTAAAACATAACGCAGTTGCAGGGTGATACCCACGGACAAACGATTCCCACCAGAGTGACACAACCGCAGCTGCCATGCCTGCCGTTTTAGTCGTTGCGAGTCCGACATAACCCGTCCTCGACCCCGCGAGGCTGGTTTGCGTAGGCATTTCCCCACGTAAATGAAAGGATGTCTAAAGTAGATGGTAAGCAAAACGACAATGTACAGCAAAAACCTAGCCCTTTGCAATATTTTTCATACGGACGCTCGCAACTTCTTCCCGCCATATAAACTGTCCCTTTTCAATTCTATTCTCTACCTATCATAAAATTGGACGAAAAATATACTGCACAACGCGGCCATATGTAAGAAACGTTTTATCTGTGAATACACCTGTGATCTCTCGCCGAGTTATTTAGTGCTGGTTAAGTGCGGTTAACTGTTCCTGTGCCTGGTTCCTGTGCAGATTGGTAACGTACTTGCACTTACAGCGTGGCTCTACCATGTACATTATACGCAGTAGAGCCACGCTGCAGCCATATTAGTTGTAGCACAAATGGTTTGGCTCGACCGGGCTCTCACAGAATACCAGCGTAAAATAGCATCTTAAGGCTCCTGTGTTTCGTAGGTGAGTGTAGAGAACCGAAGACCCTTTTTACTGGAAACGAGGCATTCCATCTTAGTCCTCAGGGGTGACATGGCATCTGCATTTTGGTTCTTAATCGAGAATAAATGTAAATGATCATTTGCATTTCCTAAATATTGTTTCCTTCACTTTCATATAACAGACAACAGCACCCATTAGCCAAGGCCTTGTTGCTGCGGATGTCCTGCAGGCTGCGGTTTAAGGCATCTATCGTGCTATATTACTGCTAGTAAGTGAATGAAGCAGCCGCGGCGGCTGCTCCTGTTGATAAGGTGTATGAACATGTCCATCAGCAGCATGAGCCCATGAGCAGCGTTACGCCGATGCCCGAGAAAACAGAAACATATACAGTAATACAGTAATTTTATCACAAATGTTTTGCCCGTCACCGCTGCTCCGTCTAGAAAGGAGTGCTCTCCATCTCCGACATATATGAGCTGCAGATACAAACATGGCACTATTCTTTTCACGTGGATTTCTAAATCCCCGAAAAAATAGCTGAGCTCCCTTACAGCATCGGCTTACAATTATTCCTTTGGCTGCAGTGTCCGCAACTGAAACCATCCGATTTTTGCCAGATACTGTATCGTTCCTTTTTCAATTAACTTCAACGTTTGATGATTCAAGCATCACAGCACAGCACAAGCACAGCTTCTGATAACGCTTTCTTATAGTTATTCCACAGCTGAAAAAATTACTGAGAGAATTAATGTATATCGTGTGAAAAGGTTATAACTATACTCGTAGAATTATACTAAACACTAAGTAGAATCTAATTATAATAATTGAATTTATCTAGGAAAGATATACTGTATGTTATTTAAAGATATAGTACACCTTCGTACTTAATTTCATTTAAATCCGTTCTGAATTACGCTCCAGATTTATCCCACAGGAACCGTACATTTTTCTGAAATAAAAAGTAGCCTGTGTCACACCGGTCCATAAAAATCTATGCAAAAACATGTCACTCATTTACTCCGTTGTGGCGTGAATGAAGGAAAACCAACAATCACACTTCGCATTTATAATATAGCAGCTATAACCCTTTTTATAAAGGCTTTGTTTGATAAACAATTTATAATTAGATTTTGAATATTTGAATAAATTTATGGAGTTACCTACTCTGTGCTTACCGCGTGCTCGGTGGTGAAGGAAAACTTCCTGAGAAAATCTCAATGTCTGGAAAATAAAAAATAAATATTTCGAAGAGATGTGGAGTCCGCTAACACGCATTTGGGCATCGCAGCGTACATTTCCCTGTACTAATACTATATTCAATACAAGGAGACTTTCTTTTCTGCCCAGCTGTGCGACGTATATAGGCTGTAAGTTTACTTTGCTAAATTTGTGGAGTCGAGTAACTGATATCACTTAATTTTTGTTTCTGGTGGTTATAGAATGATATGACTTTGATTTAAACTACTTTTACGGATTTTATTATTTTATGGGGGACTAAGGTGACTGACGTCCCGATATTAATGTTAACCCTGAGTTCCTTCAATTTTTTAATTATTAATGATGGTCCGATCTACGCAGATGAACTTACTCTGTCTTGAAGTCATACAGTTGTATGCTTGGGTTTGGCCTTAATTTTATTAAAGGGTCCCAAGCAGGTGGTAGTACCCAGCCTCCTTCTCTATTGAAATTAGGATGTTTTTTTTATTTTCAATAGCCTCACGTATCATCCTTGGTAAAAATCGATGTTCTTTCGCGAGGATTTGTGGTCTATCAAAACTGATGTAATCGTTGGGGCCGCCTAGGATATGACCACAAACTGCAGACTTCCCATAACATTTAACATTTGACCCCCTTCTGTAAAACAAAAATATTTTTTCTTCTGCAACATTAAAATGCCATAGGATATTGTTCGAATATGAAAAGTACGACGAAACTGCAGTCCAACACGACTGAAGAGAGATCAGGTGCAGGACCAAGGTCTCATAGCGGGGATGTTTTTTTTTATTGCTGCCACGCTTGCCAGGTGTGTTGGCAAAGGCAGTTTTATTTAATTTTGTATAAAATAATATATATATATATATATATATATATATAAGAAACAAATTAATCTCGTGATCTGCCATCGCATTTCATGATATGCCGCCATATTTTACATGGTAGAGCCAAGATGCAGCTTTATTAGTTGTAGCACGAATGGGTCGACTCAGCCGGAGTAGAATCACGCTCTCACAGAATACCTGCATAAAATAGCAGCTAAAGGCTGTTGTGTTTCGAATAATGAGTGTAGAGAACCGGAGACCCTTTTTTACTGGAAACGAGACATTCCATCTTAGTCCTCAGGGGTGACGACGCATCTGCATTTTGATTCTTAATCGAGGATAAATGTGGATATTTATGGGTTAGCCTCCACTTACCATGTGATCGACTGTATGCTCGTTTGTTATACTTATTCTATAAAAAATATCATTATTTGGGCGATAGTTTATAACTTCTGTTAACTTTGTCAAATATACAATAGCACCTATCAAGTAATCGGTCAACGACAGTTGGTTGAGGTGAGGCTGGAGTAGAGAGGATAGCGATCTGCCTAATACTATATTGAGTACGTTATCGCGAATAGACTACACCTTTGTGTAACGAATTATAGAATCTGCCGATTTTAGAGGGTGACCTTTTTATCGTATCGGTCCGTCGGTCACCTACATATTAGTTTATTTTTAAGTTAGGGTAGGATAAGGTACTCGGTGACCGAAGTTAGAAGATTACATAGATATATTTTAAATAATTAAACATTAATTTTGAAATAATAAATATAATAAAATTCAAATCGATGTATAGCAAACGGATGACGTCTATTATATTAACACAAATCATACAATCTGCCGACTGAAAAGTGGTAAATTATATATATATTTTTGTTAGTATATTGAACTCCCGCTTAATGCCATACCTAGAGCAAAATGACCTCCTTAGTGACCGGCAATACGGGTTTCACCGAAATCGGTCAGAAGGTCCCCCTTCTAGACGTATGGGGCGAGGCAATCGAGAACAGTGGGGAAGCACTTGCTGTTTCCCTTGATGCGTCGAAGGCCTTTGATAGAGTTTGGCACACTAGCCTTTTGGGTAAGCTTCCTGCGTAAAGCTTCTCCCCTGGTCTGATTGAATGGATAAGGGATTTCCTGAGTATCCTCTCTGGATCATCGTCGATGGCTGCTCATCCGATCCTGTGACGTCTGACGCCGGTGTTCCTCAAGGTTCTGTTCTCTCCGCAACTCTCTTCCTGCTGCATATTAACGATCTGCTTATGCCCGGTATCTATGGGTATGCAGAAGATAGCACAGTTGTGGAGAGATACCAACCAAGTGCTCGGGCCAGTCGGGATCAAATCCAGTCCGAAAGAGGCTATGATTGAGCGCATGAATCTCACACTACACGCACTTTCCGAATGGGGCGATGCCAATCTCGTGAGATTCAACGCCTCCAAAATACAAGCACATATTTTTTATATATTATAATTTGCTGCCGATAAAAAGTAACAAATAAATAAATAGAAATGACAAAACGATACCATAATCAATGCCAACTTGAATGGTATAATAAGAAATGTTTTACCGCTTTCCTAAATATTCAGCCCGTAAAAGTTTACAGCTGGCCACGGGTTAGTCACGCTTGCCAAGCGGATCACTCAACGGTCACTG